TAAACTTATGGGTTGACTAAGCAATGGATATAACAAGAGATTAAGGATTCATTAGTGTGACGTTCGGTAATATCTGACCCCACAATTTCACAAAACCATAATACCATTTCTACCCCCTTTCCACACACAAATCAATATTTTTATAGTTTAACATTCCAGTAGTCATACTCTCCAATTCACATTTATATGAAAAACTACAAAATTGGAATTATTCTTTAGTCACGAATAGTCAATAAATGCTTATTTTACCTTCTAATCCCTGTGGATACGATAATTTTACTACTTGAACGCCCGATATACTTGTCGTGTTTGAGACCGTTAATAGAACAAAAGTGATTTAAAGTGATAACAAAAGTAGTTCAACGGAAATCTCAACAGAAGTCTTATGACGTACCTCCTTAATCGAATGGGAGCTCTATTGTTAGGAGATCTCTAGTGACTACTCAGAGTGGAGCTCCAAGTGTTCGTGCTTTAGGTGTGGATGATCCCATTATAACAGAGACTGTTCTCGTAAGGAGAACAAGTGCTTCAAATGTGGTAGGATCAACCATGTCTCTAGAAATTATTCAACAGGGGCTAGTCAACCCAAGGATGTTTAGAGAGTGGAATGACATATTGTTGCGGATTAAGTGTTTGCTTTATCAGAGATTGAGATTTCTACTTCTTTTGATTTGGTGAAGGGGAAGGGGAAACAGTTGATAAGGATATTCTTATCCAATTTGATTTTGAAGCTATACATTCATTTATTTATGTTGATTGTATGGAAAGGTTGAGATTGTTTGTAAGTTACTTACATGTACTAGTGCAAAATAGGCTTTTTACGTCTGTATTTTCACGTCGGACCAAAACATATCCGACGTAAAAATGACGCGGTGGCATTTTTGAAAATAATGCAAACTTTTTTACGTCAAACAACAAAGGGTCCGACGTAAATTCAACAATCTACGTCGGACCTCAGCTACAACCGACGTAGATTGTTGAATTTACGTCGGACCCTTTGTCCTCCGACGTAAAATAGTTTTTTATAAATGTATAGTTAAGTTGCGTAGAGCCTCTCCATTCTTCCCATTCTTCACCAGATTTCCTTCCCGTTCTTCATGCTTCGCACGCCAACACGTAGCGCCTCTCCATTCTTCCCGTTCTTCACCATATTTCCTTTCCGTTCTCCATGCTTCGCACGCCATTGGTTGGGAGCACTCCGATTTCCTTCCCGTTCTTCGCTCCTTTCCTACGTTCGAAGGTTCCTTTCTTATCTTCTTCGCTCCTTTCGCTTTTCTATTTTCTTTATTCCCCAGATTGCATGGTATCATAATGTTTATCTTTGGCTGCAGACAGGAGCAGAGTATGACAAGGAGTGCAAAATTTGTACAAGGCCTTCTGGATCTTGAATATGGACTACCAGTTCAAGTTAGGGACACGACTCTCAGGAGAACGGGCCGTTCTGCAAGGAGAACGACCCGTTCTCCTTGTAGAATGGGCCGTTCTCCTTGCAGAACGGGCCTTTCCAACGTAATTTTTTTTTGGGGTTTTGCAACTTTTTTACGTCGGTGTTCGAAAATCTTCGACGTAAATTTACGTCGGTCGAAAATACTGACGTAAATTTACGTCTCCCGCTTTAACGTCGGAAGTTTTTCTGACGTAAAAACTTTAAAATAGCTGACGTAAAAAGCCTCTTTTGCACTAGTGATGTTGACTTGATTGTATCTACTTTTGCTTTTGCTTCCATGGTTACTTTTGAGGTATGCTTGAAATGTCCAGTAGAGGTGTATGGTAGAAGTTATAGAGTAAACTTGTTTTGTTTGCCTATGATGAAGTTAGACATAATCTTAGGTATGAATTTGGTTATCTGTCAATCACATTCTTACATATTAAGCTAGGAGGTAGTTGATTTTCTCGAAGGTTGAGAGTGATGGGTTAATAACTGCTAAGCAAGTGGATAATCTTTCAGAAGAAGAAGCTCAATGTTTCATAGTATTTTATGCTTTGAGTGTTGAGGCTGAGAAGTTGGTCAAATATGATTGAGGTGGTTAGGGATTTTCTCGAGGTGTTCCCAAATGAAGTGTTAGTTTTGCCTCCTAATAAGGAAGTGAAGTTTAGTATTGACTTACTTCCAAGTGCAAGACTAGTGTTAATAACTTCTTATAGGATGGTTCTAATTGAGTTGATTGAGCTAAAGAAGCAAGTTGAGGATCTTTTAAAAAAATAGATGGTTAGACCAAGTGTGTCTCCACGGGGTACACCAATGCTATTGGTGAAGAAAAAAGATGATGGTACTCGACTGTGTGTAGATTATATGTAGTTGAATAAGTTGACTATTGATGTCCACTACCTAAGATATAAATGACTTGATGGACCAACTAAAGGGAACATGTTTCCAAGATTGATTTGAGGTTTGGATATCACTGGATAAGGGTGACGGATAGTGACATATTGAAGATTACTTTTAAGACTGGGTATGATCACTATGAGTATATGGTGATACCTTTTGGTGTGAGCAATGTCTCAGTTGTGTTCATGGAGTACATGAATAGAATATTCAGACTTTTCTTGGATATATTTGTGGTTGTGTTTATTAATGATATCTTCATCTATTTAGGATCTCTAAAGGATTACATGGAATATTTGAGATCGACATTGGAGGTATTGAAAGAGAAACACTTATATGTCAAGTTGTCTAAGTGTGAGTTTGGCCTTAGTGAATTAAAGTTTTTGGGGTATGTGATTTTAACTAAGGAGATTTATATGGATTTAATTAAGGTGGAGACAACATTGCAATGGGAGTGTCCACTAACAATTTTTGAAATTAAAAGTTTTGTTGGGTTGATAAGTTACTATAAAAGATTCATAAAAAGTTTCTAAAAAATAGTAATGTCTCCGACTCAATTTACTCGGCCTTTCATTTGGACAAATATTTGTAAGGAAATTTTTTTGGAGTTGAAAAAGAAGTTAACTAGTTCTCGTGTATAAGTGTTGTGTGATCTTATTGAATCAAATGATATGTATTGTGATGTTTTTTACTAAGAGTTGAACCTTAATCATTCCTAATTCACTATATATATATATATATATATATATATATATATATATTAAATTAATATATATATATATATATATATATATATATATTAAATTAAATTAAATTAAAATAACTATTTCGATTTAGATTATTTTTAGATATTATTTTTGGAGCAAAAACCTTTTTTATTTTTATAATCTTATTTTTAGTAATATCCTTTTATTTGAATTTATTATTATTTTAAAAGAAATTATTGATAATAATCTTATTTATATCTTTATAAATTGAAATAATTATTTTCATCGAGAAATTTTAAAGACTATTTTTAAATGAGAGTTTCTTTAGTTGTTTTTTTTAAATAGTACTTTAGAATTTTCTAATTTCTTATATTTTTTAATTTATTATTTCTAATTTTTTTTATATATATTTAAAATTATTATAAAGAGTTAAAAATAATATCAAGTCATAATATAAAATATTCATTAGAAAGCTAAAATATAATTTGTATGATAAAAATATTTATTTTACTACAAATTTTAATTATAATATGATTTTTAAATGGAAAAAATGTTTATTTAGTATAATTTTGTTATATAAAATAAAATTTTATTTTGTATATTAAGCAAACTAAAATAATAAAAAATAAGAGTTGGTTTAATGTTGAATATTGAAATAATATTCATTGAATTTTAATTTGAACTATGTTGTTGTAACTGTAATTTTTATTAATAAAAAGACTAAAATACTACTTTTATTTTAAAAGGATTCATTTAAATTTTTTTCTTACATAAGGGATATTAAGTTAAATAAAATTATAAAGATATAATTAAAATTGAATTAAAAAATTACAAATTATAAAATAAACATAGTAAAAATTACACATTTAAATTATTTTTTTCTAATCAATATTATTGCAATAAAAAAATAAATCATTGATTTATTATATTTTTAATGATTTTATTCAATACACTTCATAAAATTATAAGTGTAAGTATAGTTGTATTTAGGTTTAATTGTGTTATTTATCCTTCAAGTATTGTAATTGCGCAATTTTGATCAGAATGTCTTAATTGAGTAATGTTAGTCCTTAAAAAATTGTAATTATGCGATTTTAGTCTCTTAATTTTTAATTTAACAATTTTAATATCTCAAATATTATAATTGTACGACTTTAGTCTTTTTTATTAAAAATTAAATATATTATATAATATTATATTTTAAAAATTTACTATATATATATATATTATATTTTAAAATTATATAATTGTTTGCTTATTTAAGTTAACATATATTATAATTTTTGCTAATGTATCAAATAATATTAATTTGATAAACATAACTTAGTATATATTAGTATACTTTTACAAAAATATAAATATGTTAGATAAGATATGTATATTTCTAATTAATATACTTATATTTTTGTAAGAGTATATTAATATATAATAAATTATATTTATCAAATTATTAATTTATTTATAAATATACTAATAATATTATTGATATTAATTTATCAGTAATATTATAAAATAATAATATATAAATTTTATTTATTTATTATTATTAATAAATATATCATTTGATACATTAATAAAAATTATAATATATGTTAATTTGAATAGACAAATAGTTATATAATTTTAAAATATTAAATATATATATATATATATATATTAAAAATTTTAAATTTTTAATAAAGGAGACTGAAATTACACAATTATAATATTTGAAGAATTAAAATTATTTAATTAAAAATTAAATGACAAAAAATCGGACAATTATAATTTTTTAAAGACTAAAATTATCCAATTAAAATCCTGAGATTAAAATTGCACAATTGTAATATTTGAGCGATAAAAATACAATTTAACCTTGTATTTATTTAATTTTTTTTAAAGTTCATTAAATACAATTTTTAAGGAACGAATAAAACCGGATCTGTACCCGACCCGCATCCAATATGGTTCTCTATAAATATGCGATATCACAATTAGGGTTTCTCTGTCTGCTTCATTCGTTCAGTGCCTCCAACCCCTGTGTGCAGCGCCTTCCATCCAGAAAAAAAAAATGGTACTTTTTCTTCTCTTGTCTTCTCATTCATTCATCCAATCCTAAACATCGTTTTATGCAAACACTCCTCCGCTTTGTTTTTGCAGACTAAGAGAACAAAGAAGGCTGGTATTGTTGGAAAATACGGTATGCCTATTAACATCGCTTTTATCCAAATCTGATAGCATTTAGGGTCTTTCACTCATTTTAGAAGAATGATTATTGAATAATGATTAATAAGTTGTTTTTAAGATAGGAATTTCGCGTTGCTTTGTAGTAGTTGAAAATTGTTATGTTTAGGTCGTGAAAAGTACTGTTTAGCAATGTGTTGGATATGCTATGATTGATTCCTGAGATATTATTGTTTGTTTTGTTATATCAGGTACCCGTTATGGTGCCAGTCTGCGGAAGCAGATTAAGAAGATGGAAGTTAGTCAACACAGCAAATTTTTCTGTGAATTTTGTGGAAAGGTAGCTGAACCTTGTGTTATTTTGTATAAGTTTAGGTCATATGTTCAAACAAGGTTTCCAGTCTCTTGTATGTTTATTTAACATTTTCAAATGTTTGGATTCTGATGTCAATTTTTTCTGTGGCAGTATGCTGTGAAGAGGAAGGCTGTGGGAATATGGGGATGCAAGGACTGTGGTAAAGTGAAAGCTGGTGGTGCTTACACTTTGAAGTAATGCTCTTGTTTTTTCTTTTTTCTAATGTAATTTTTTTTTTTCAAATTATCTAATTTTGATGTCAATATTTTTGACAGTACTGCAAGTGCTGTGACTGTGCGGAGCACCATCAGGAGGTTGAGGGAACAAACTGAGAGCTAAGCTTTTTGTTGAGTCTATCTATCAATTAGACATGCGAGAAGTGCTTAGTTTATTTTCATAGAACTGCATTGATTGTATCCAAAGTAAACTCTTTCAAGTTTTATTTGAGATGACTCTTTTAATTTTAGTTGTTTAGAACAATCTGAGCAATTTTGCTCCGAGGAATATTTTTATTTGCGACTGATAGTGGATCATTGTTTTGATTCATTCTTGTGTCAAACTGAATAACTTCTTTCTATTTGTTAGTGTTTTTTCCCTTAGTGATTGTAGACCTAGCTTATAATTTGTTTTGTGCAATTGACGGCTCTGTTTTTTGTTATTCTAGTATAGGCCAGGTAGCATTAAAAAAATATTATTTTGACATTTTATAATTAAATATTGAAGTTTAGGTTTCTGTAATAAACATGGTTTCTGGTTTCTATTTTATTGTCTTCTTTTGTTTTAATATATGAAAATAAACATGGTTTCTGGTTTCTATTTTATTGTCTGCTCAAGTTTACTTTGAACAAGTTTTATGAATTTAAACCTATAGGTTGATCACTTCTTGATTGTCAAGTTTTTCTACTTAGTTGAAAGATCAAGAGTAATTTTTTATTTATTTATTGAAAATACAAGTATAAATTACTTTAGTCTCTAACGTTTTAAGGTGTTCACAAACTTCCAATTTTGCAAAAACTTAATCTTCTATATGTGCATTGTTGTGCTTGAGATTAATGTTTTGTGAAGGTAAGATTTGTATTGTTAAGAATTGAAGTGATCGGTTGCGATGTTTTGCGGCTGCTACCCAAATTGATTTGTATAGTCTCTATAGACTAAGCAACTGTTGGTGTTACCTTTTTATTTTTAGGTATTATATAATAAATGTAGATGAATTGTTCCTCTCATCAAATAATCTATTGTTTGGTCGGTATTATATTGTATTATGTAATAAATGTTGATGAATTGTTCCTCATCAAATAATCTATTGTTTGGTCATGTCAATTGCAATTTGGGATTTTATGTGATGGCCTCGTACAAAATGTGTGGCCACTTTGAAGAAAAGAAAATCCTATGCAATACAAAATTTTCACATCAAGTTGACAGAGACGAGTTATAACAAAAAGGGACGTTTTCAAAAGAAGCATTTTTTCGATGGTATTTTTGGTTGTCCAGTAAGATAGAGGTATCCTCTGTTAGAGTGTTATTAAATTTTTTGTTGGTAAAATCATTCAAGATTATCGAGAGCCCACCTGGAGATTATTAATTTATTATACACGTAAATCTCAATTTTATTCAATCAATGTCACTTAATAATTATACACATAAATCTTAATTTTATTCAATCAATGTCACTCAGCTAGCTTTGTTTTTATCAATTTGAATCGCTCAACTTTAAAAGATTTATAATTACTTAAGTTGTTTAATAAATAGAACCTGCGATATTTGAAAGCTATGTTCCATGGCTTTTACTGTTGTTCATTTGCACAAACACAAATGCCATCACATACAACCAACTCAATAGCGCTAGTTCAATAAATGAGTAAATTAACTGTCTGTGACCGGGACAGCTAATATGACAATCAACTATTACGAACGGAATGAACAAATAACATGAATCAAACAGATAAAGCAGCCAAAACAGGGATTATGGGGCACGACGCATGTCTGCAGAGTACTACGTTGAGGGAACTGGATAAGGATTTTCTCATCTTCAATAGAATGGAAGTTTAACAAATTAAAAAAAAGATGGATATAGCCTATTCTATGCCTTAAAACATGTATGGTTGTACCACTCAAACGATAGATGAATAGAGAATAGCTCTTATTTTTTCTTCAGTTGAAATAAATCTTCCATGATTAAAAAAGTTTTTATACTTAAATATATTTTTAATTCTTTATATTTAAGATAGATTTATTTTTAATTTCTCAAATTTAAAATGAATATTTAATCCTGTGATATCTTTTTCTTGACACCTGTAAAATAAAAAAATCTCATTTTAATTATTTAAGTAATAACAAATTAAAATAATTATACAATATTAATTAAATTTAATATAACATTTTCACTAAAAAAATATTGAAATATTAATAAGTAAATTTTGTACATTAGTATTTCACAAATTTATTAATAAAATTTAACTATAAAGATTAAAACATTTCTTTTTAAAATTACCAAGTACTAATTTCAAATCTGAGAGACTTAAAACGTAAGCTAAATATTTATGTTTGCACACTAACAAGTGCATCGTGAGGTTTAAGTCAGGAAATATATATTCAGCTGGAGACTCGAGGCCATTTTGTGAATTCACATCCCATATACTGGGTGTGTGTGTGTGTTTCTCTCTCTATATATACACACACATCAATTTATACAATAACTTCTACAACAATCATTTTCTGTTTGTCTCTCCGTTTCATCATTAATAATATTTCAAATTTCTCTTTCTTGGTTGTTCAAATTGTTCTACAATATGTTGTAGAAGTATCATTTCTCATCAATACTAATGTTGGATAGCCGAGTTTAACATCCAAGCAAGTGAACTGAGTTTAATATCCAAGCAAGTGAACTTTAAAATCAGTATAATGTATGAATCCATTGGGATCATATCCAGAAATTCAAAGGCTACAGAAATGGAATAAAACAATATAAAAATAGAAGGGGAGTTGTAATCCGAGGCATAAACATAGACAACATTAAGTTAATTGCAACTTTGCAAGAATACAATTTCTAATAAAGCCATTAAAAAGTATCAAGTACAAAGGCACTTGCTCATTGAATCTGAAGCTGAAACTAAGCACTTGCTTCACATGTCTTGAATATTTCTTTTACAACACGCTCCTAAAACAAGTAAAACAGATGCCTAGATTGTACTGGTTTGGAAAGCTTATGATCCACCGGATGTTGCAGAGTACCAAAAGGAAGAGTTGAATGAGACACGGGCAGATTCTTACTTTCATCTAAGCTTCAACTTCAGCTTTATGGCTTGTGAAGTTTGAACCCAAAAACTCTCGGAACATAACCTTGTGAAGGTTTCTGTGGCTTCAGTTGTCCATAAGTCATCAAGAACAAGTGTGGAAATGTTGTTCCAAAATAAGCTCCATCAATGTCTAGACAGACTTAAGGAAATTTGGGATTAAAATTTAAACCACAATTACATATAGCCCAAACATAAAGCTCATATATCAGCAATTAAAATAGTAAAGTTTAATTGAGAGAATTCAATACAAACAAATCAACAAAATGTCAGGCAATTTAAAAATCAGCTGAATAAGAAGGACCAAACTTCTTAACTTAGAGAAAGAGTGGTAAAAGAACAATTCCCAAAAGTTCACTTCCTGCGGCATCTTCTATAAACGTAAGTGTGCCAACCAAAGTTTTCAGAAACAGTCCTTATTCTAGACATACAACAGCAGGAAGTACAAATGCAGATATAGTTTTTGTCAAAGAAGAAAATACGGTATGGTTTTCATATATATATATATATATATATAGTTAATCATCCATACACTGCCAGTGTAAAGTTTTTTACACGGGCAACCAATCATATCTTTTAAA